AAATTCAGTGTGACATATAAGCCCTAACGTTTATGCCATCTTTCCTAAAAACATGCATTGATTTGCTAAAGAACTTTTCACTCATAGCATTCTTCAGTAGTAAACAGTAGGCATGGACCTGAGACTGATAACAGTCTTGATTTCATTGTTAGGGTAACTATTTTGTCTGTTTACGTGTTGCATGAAGCCCTGACTTTTGTGCAGCCAGTGCCTTGCTGTTCCCTAGCATGGCGTGCTTCCATTCTCATATCAAGGAACATAACTGCCTTGATATTGGCAGTTTTGATACAAACACTATTGTCTACAGGACAAGAATCTGCTACATGTTTCTCAGAATCAAAGTGATGGTGTTGTGGTCTGTTGTTGCTTTGTCTTGAAAGCAGATGACCTCTGGCAGCGCATGCAGGTCTTGCACCTTTTCAGAAGTCTTTTTTCTTCAAATTCATTCTCTGTGGTGTGAAACAAAGAAATTGCCTACTGTAGAAATTTCATAGAAGAAAAAGCATAGAGGATTTCTGATTAAAATGCACAGAGCAGTTGTGCCAGGGTTGCACTCACACAGCAAGAGAAGACTGAACACACAACTGTTCATTTTAATGAGGAAGTGCAGGTGAAAGAAGATGACCTAGATGATTTTATGAATAAAAGATATAATCTGATGCAATCATTTCATTAATACACACATGGCATCAAATGAAAGCAGAGTGTAGCAGATGGCTGCGAGAGGTCTTAGATAGGCGTTTTCAGTTTAGTAGCTAACTACTTAGATTTTGTGGATTACCCCAATTGCTATCAGAAAGAAAGCATTCATCACATTGGTCTTTAAAAGAAAGTATTCCACTTTTATAAAAGTAATGCTGGAATATCTCACTTTTGTGACACTAAATCGAAAATGCAATCACAAAGCTGATGTAGGGAAATACATTCCACAAAAATTTCTGGAAGAAAAGCCTATTATTATTATAGCCTATTATTATAGCCTATTATTATAGCCTACTATTCTTAAGTGATAGCTTGCAATTTTCTTTGCTCTCAGTTTCCTACACTTGGTAGAAATGGTTTTATAATACAATCAGGAAATACAGTATTGTTATTCAAGTTTTGAATCTAAGCCTGACATTTATATATTTGCTGTAATTTCAGATCCACCATGTACAAGTGCAAAACACAGATCACCAAGGAAGGTCCTTGGGATAGTATCAAAAAAAAGGCGATTTGTTCTGAGATAAACTATATGGAAAAAAATAAATCTATATTATTAAAAGGATGTAGTATTTGGGAGATGCTTCTGTAGGATCTGGACCTTGTTTTCACATGAGTTAATCTCAACATAGAGAACAACAAGGTGGGAACACAGTGATTCTGTACACAATCTGAAAGCAGGTAGGCAGCAGCCAGCTGGCTACTTTGCCCTGCCCAAGTCATGCCATCAGTACTGGGGCTGCAGGGAGTCTGATATCAGAGCCAAATGTGTAGGTGAAGGCCCTGTGTGCTCAGCCCTGTATTTGAGGAATGCATAGCCTGAGAGATCTGTTGGCTTCCCCGCCTTTTGCAAAACCAAATCAGGGCAAAAGGGCTGGATTTCTTAGAGAGAATCTGTCCTATCGCTTCTTAGAGACAGATTAACCTCAGTTTGGCATCTGAACTGAGGACACACACAGTCTCATTCTCCAAATCTAATCCAAGATCAGCTCCATCTGTATTATGTTAACATGAATTAATATTGAGGCAGAGCCTTCTTTGAATACATGTGGGAGCCGGAGTTCTGATTTTGTTTCAGAAAGGTTGTTTGAGCTCAGTTGCTGTCTTGATTTTGGTGTGGGGAGTTCTTTTTGCTGATGTGAGGTTTGTGAGGGTTTGTTATGAATGTATAATATCCTGAATTTAATCTGCAGATGAATAGTCACTTTCTTCAAATGCAGAGCAAACCAAATACAACTACATTCTCAACTCCAAAGCCTGTGCTTGGGAGTGTGAAACCAACTTTGTTTCCTTTTTATACAGCTGACAAATATGTCGAACTGGGCAGGCCTGATCCTGTTTCTTTAGTAGGAAATGGTTCTTTGTAAGCCATGAGCTTTTTAAGACTTAAAACGCTGATAATCCTGTGTGCTTGTGAATGAAATGTATGCATGATTTTATAATGTGAATAACATACATGATGCAGATACTTCCGTAGCATTCTTAGCAGCCTACTCCTGTGCAAATCATAGCTTTATCATGGGCTGAAGTATTCAGGGAAATGGCGGAAAATCCAATAAAAACTCCAAGAAGCTGAAGATCTTCTTAAGCCTACTGTTCAAACTTTGGACACTTTGTAATTTAGGTATTTGTCAGACAAGTCTACAGGTTGCTCTTACCCATCTGGTGAATAATGGGAATGCAAATAATTACTTTCAAGTCACTTAAAATATGTGTTACCATCAAGAAAATGACACTCAGATTGAAATTATTATCCTTTTACCCAAGCTTACAGAGATCTGAAGTCCACAAACTGTCAAATATAACGATAAGTGTTCTGAGTAAGGTGGTGGTGTGGCATATGAGGCTACTGTTAGAAAAGGAGAAGTCAGCTGTTTCAGAATGAAATACAACTCTTGCAACAGTACACCTGAAATATTTAACTTTAAAACACATATAAATAAAAAAAAATATTTCATATCAGTATTTATATGTCTGTAACATTCATTTATGTTACCTCCCCTTTATGTTTCTCATCACATACAGCAAATACTGGTTAACTGTTCATCAAAAGCTCTGTGTTCGGTTTGATCAGAATTTGATTCCTTTTTGTTTGCTGGTCATAAAAACTCAGATATGTAAGTTTTTTATCCTGAGGCTATTTAACAGCTTCCCTTTGTAGGAATGCTTATACTTGACTGTGGACCAAAATCTCCTCTGTGCTCTTCAGTAATTTCTGTCAAGGTCTTTCTCTCTGTTTGGTTCTCCAAATAGGATTATCATCATTAGCTTATTAGCATACTCCCTGCCCTCTCTCCTTCTGCACATGCATTACTACTTCCTTTCCTGTTTTGATCTCTGTTATTTTCAGATCCCTCTCCACCGAGACACTTTGGGACCCATATGAAAAACATCGTGGCTGGTAGACAGATAATGGAGTCCTCTTAAAACCAAAGGAATAACACCTACTATTTTTTTTTTTCTTTATGGTGTTGCTGCAACAGCAGGTTTACAAACACACACACTCACACTGCAGGAGGTGTGAGATTCAGGTTTGAAGAAGGATGTAGTCAGGATTTAAGGAAAAGCAGTGGTGTAGGAAAGAACCAATCCAGAGTACTTCTTAACAGATTCTTGATTGGACAAGATGAAAAATCTACCATTTTCTCTGCAAATAGAAGTATTCACTGATCTTCTCATATTTGACACTTTCCCATTTCAAAGATTTAGGGATCCAATCAGGCAATCAGGCAACAGATTCTAGTAATGTGAATCAGAGACCATCTGCACCATCAAATGAAAAGACAAATTTTGAGGTGTTTAAAACACACCAATGTCCTGCACATTGATGAAGCTTGGTCTTATTTTTTAGAGAACACTTCACATCCTTATCACAACCCAATACTGTTTCATGAGAGAGCTGCAAAGTAAAAAAAGGACCACACTGTTTACAGTGGCCTAAACAGTTCTGCTTTGGAAGAAGACTGATTTTACTGAGTTTGGCAGCAAGAACACTATTATCAGACTGATTTGAATTTTTCTTATGTTCATTTTAATAAGATCAGTTGAGTAGGTAAAAGGCTATAGTTTATCTTTATGGAAATGTAGAGAACACACTTTAGGTTTCACCATCAGGAAAGAGTCAATCTCAGCTGGTGTCAGTGGTTTATCTGAAATTGTTGGGGAGTGTCTCAGGTATTCAGGTAAGGGTAGTTATAAAATAAAAAATATTTTAAACATATTGTAGTAATTTGGGGGAATATGTAGGTGTTTTATAATGAAAGAATGTCTTTATTCTTGTGCTGTTTAGAGATGCCTTGAGTGAAGGTTTGGTGTCCTTTCTGACTTAAATCCAATCTCAGTCTCAGAATTATCTGAAATGGCTATATATGTTCACTTCTCCTTCCACAAGCGATTCTTGTATTATATCTGTGATCAGAGGAGAGTAACAATACAGTTTTAAGACCGGTTATCCCCCAAGGGTAAGCAGTTGTTCTAGATGAAATTACTGCTGCATGACACTGCTGTTCTCTCAAGCCTGGGCAGCTTGCAGAGCCCCACAGTCCCCGAGACTGCAGCCAGGCACGGGGGCACAGCAACCCAGAGTAGCGGCCGCGGGCCAGCACTGGTTCCCAGGGGGACACTCCCCTGTGGCCTGATCCCAGTGGTGGGGAGGTAGCCGGAGTGGCCTCACTGCGATCAAGGCGGGCTCTGGTCGGGCGAAGAGCTGCTCGTTGGCGAGAGGAGGCTCGTGGTGGCTGGGTCAGGTCTTCCTCCGCCTCCCTCCTCCTCATTTATTTACTTCATTTGTTTTATCCCATTTATTTATTTATATTCACGGGAATAATAAAAAATGAGAAAATCCGAGCGCTGCTTTTGGCTGCTCTCCACCAACCTGTCAGTGACGCAAGCGGAGACTACTTAAAGGCAGATTAGAGGCAGCAAGACATTAAAAGCCAACCTTCCTCTCCTCCCGCCGCGGGTCCGCCGCTCCGCGGCACGAGCCGAGCGGGCCGTGCCGGGCTCTGCCGCCGCGGGGCCCCGAGTAGAATCGGGCCGGGCCGAACCGGGCAGAGCCGAGCCGAGAGTCCTCGAAAGGGCTGCCGCATCCAGCTGCCTTCCTACTACCAGACTGCAGGCGGTAGAGGGGGATTTCTCTCGTTTTATTTTTTATTTTTTTCTTTCTTCATCCCTTGCAACACAACAACAAAGAAAAAAAAAAAAAAAAGGGGGAGGGGGGGAGGAAAGGAAGAAAGGGGTAGGAAGAAGTGAAGATATCCCCTCCGCTTGCCAAAGTCTTTGTCTCCGGATGAACAGCGATGGGGGAATGGACTATTCTAGAGAGGCTACTGGAAGCTGCCGTGCAGCAGCACTCTACTATGATAGGGAGGTAAGGGCGACGGGGCGCTACGGGGGGCGCGGGGGTGCCCTGCTGCTCTATAGAGTCCCGGCGGTGCGAGCAGCCTGCGCGGGGCTCCTACCGTGCTCGCCTGGAAAGAGCCCGTGTACGGGCGGAACGGGCACGGAGCCACGGCACAGGATGCGGAGCCGCGGAGACACGGAGCTCTGCCCGACCCCGAGGAGTAGCGGGGCGGCGGGCAGACATTGAGGGAATCCCGCCGCGACAGCGGTCCCGCAGGCAGAGCCCCTCCGCGCCTCTCTGCGCGTTCGGCGGCTGCGGCCCGCGCGGTCGCTATGGGTTCTCCTAGAGGGGCCGGGGCAGCTCCCACCATGGCTGGGGCTTGCGGCGACGCATGGCCGCTCCCTGCCGCGCCGAGGCGATACCGCGCCGGCTGCGGCGCCCCGGGCCGATCAGCACTGGACAGCTCCCGGCCGCGCGCACTGACGGGCTTCTCTGTTCCAGGATCCTGCTGACCGTGGTGGTGATCTTCAGGATCCTCATTGTGGCCATTGTAGGGGAGACGGTGTACGATGACGAGCAGACTATGTTTGTCTGTAATACGCTGCAGCCAGGCTGCAATCAGGCTTGTTACGACCAGGCTTTCCCTATTTCTCACATAAGGTACTGGGTGTTCCAGATCATCATGGTGTGCACTCCCAGCCTGTGCTTCATAACGTACTCTGTTCACCAGTCTGCTAAGCAGAGGGAACGGAGGTACTCCACTGTCTTCCTCACCTTGGAGAGAGACCAGGATTCAATGAAGCGTGAGGATAGTAAGAAAATCAAGAACACAATTGTCAATGGGGTGCTGCAGAACACTGAGAACTCCACCAAAGAGGCAGAACCAGACTGCTTAGAAGTGAAAGAGATCCCCAATCCTGCAATCAGAACTACAAAATCAAAGATGAGGAGGCAAGAAGGCATTTCTCGATTTTACATCATCCAAGTGGTCTTTCGAAATGCCCTAGAGATTGGATTCTTAGTGGGGCAGTATTTTCTGTATGGATTCAATGTCCCTTCCATGTACGAATGTGACAGATACCCTTGCATTAAAGAAGTAGAGTGCTATGTCTCTAGACCCACTGAGAAGACTGTGTTCTTGGTATTCATGTTTGCTGTCAGTGGCATTTGTGTGGTGCTCAATTTGGCAGAACTGAACCACTTGGGCTGGAGAAAGATCAAAATGGCAGTGAGAGGAGTACAGGCAAAAAGGAAATCCATATATGAAATCAGAAATAAGGATCTGCCAAGAATGAGCATGCCTAACTTTGGCAGGACTCAGTCAAGTGACTCAGCTTATGTGTGAGGCTGTGACAGAACTGAAACTTGGTGCCAGGTGGAACAGACCCAGACACCATTAGAGAAAGGTACATTGCTTAGGCAAGCATTTTATCAAACCACCAAGAAAGCCATTAAGGTATTGGATCTGCACTTACTGAACTAGCTGCAAAACTGCAGTGCTATGTAAAAGACTGAAAGCAAAACAAAACAAAACAGCTATAAAACCATGGTTGATCTAGCCTTACAGCTACTATTATCACTAATTTTGTTTCTAAAGATTGGATGCTATCTGTTGGTGGAGCAGCTTTTTGGTCATCTTTAGGATGAGTTTACAGTTTGGACTGTCTGATAAATCTTTGTAAACATGTAGAATGTTCATATTAAAAATCTGCAAGGATACTCTATATGGGGTGGGATGGGGTGGGGGAAACTGTTGTGATGTAAGATGTAAGCATGTTTTAAAAGGAGGGTAATTGCACTGTGACCACAGCTCAATCAGGACATCTGCTCTCACCTATCTCACAGATGTCTGATGTTGTTTTGCTTGTCTACATCACAGAGTTTATTCCTGGTGTGTATTACTAGCTATTTTCTAACATAGTTTGTGCATCATTTAGTTGTGCTAAACAATAAATGCTGAATATAATTTTGCCATTTATTGTTTGCCTGTCCACACACACCAGAGACCTTAATCATCCTATGTTAGTTGTGATCTACAAAATATATCAGTACATTTCAGTTCATTTCCTGATATGTGCACGAATAAGATGGAATTGGTTCATGCTGGCCAAGTTACGTACTTACCTACAGTTACCTATGGTGACACACATACCAAAGGAACAGAGTTCATTGCTTTTAACTGTGATTATATCACCTTCTCTCTGCTCTTATTTATATAAGTGCCATACTTGAAACATCCAACTCTGTACTTAATCAGAAGGTTGTCTTGGAATACCAGCTGGAATAAAGTGATTTTATACTCTCCTTCATTTATTTTATGCTATTTGTTTAGTCATTGCAATGGTGTAAAAAGCAGCTAAAATCTCTATTCATAAATAAAGTATTTGCCTTTTTTTTTTTTGTAAGCCAGAGAGGTTTGTTCTTCTTTATTATTGTATACGGTTGAAGAAATACACAAGGTCAAAATAATTGACTTACAAATACTCTTCAGGGTTTAAAGTGTCTTGTTGATATTCTGAACTCTAAGTGACAAAACCTGGAAAATCAGGACTATTCATTATGTCCGTTTTCTTCCTTAAGCAATCTTCCTCTGTCTTTAAAGCCTGATCCAAAGCCCACTGACACCAACAGCCTTCTTTCTGCTGACACAAAGGGCAACACAGTTGGCCGCCAAGGTCATTCTGGAAATAGCAGGGTGCGTTTACCTTGAAAATGAAACGATTGCAGCTTTTCATCAGGGAATCCAAATAGTAACCTCAGCTTTTCTGCTTTACAGCTGATACAAGAAATGCACTGTTCCTGTCCCCTCAACTTACTCGTAAGCCACTGGGGCAGTCAGAAACAAATCTCTATTAATAGCAATGATTTTAATATAGGGTACTAAGTTTTGCTTATGGACCGTACTTAATTCCCACTGAATTTGACAAAAAATATCTCAGTGGCAACAGTAGGACTTGGATCAGGACTCAAAAACCATACAAGTTCATTTCTAACTAAGTGGTATCTGCATTTTAAAGAAAAGTGCCCAAATGGTGCTAAAAAATTTGGGGATACTTTATAACACAAAAAGGAGATGAGGGCTTGGAAATGCAAATGGCCTTTTGATTGTATTTTATTTCAAGCCTGACAATGAATTTTATTGTACTTTGTCCTGGAGATGCATATATTTTCTTTTTGGATTACAGTTAATAATTCAACATTTAATTCTTGTCACTTGCCAATGTTGACAAAAAAACAAAAAACCACATAAAAAAAAAAAAACAAACCACAGAAGTAATTAGTTCTTAGATAGTATTCATTATCATTTTTGTTTACAGGCGTTTTTCTTCAACACTGAAACATAAAAAGACTTTGAAATATGTCATGTTTTTAAAGATTTTAAAAATCTCTTTCCTTATGTGTAAAATGAAAAGTTTTCACAGTTTGATTATAGAAGATCATAAAATGGATTTGTCAAATGATTCTCTGCAGTATAAATGCTCATTGATACTGCTAGTTGACTGCATGTTCACTGGAAAACTGGCTGTTATTTTTAGAAAGGCAACATGGAAGCTAAAATCTCCATCTGCAATATAACAAGCTTCTAAAGATTACTATTTGACACAGGAATCCAAGCCTGATCTTCATTTTGTGGATTCATGGTGTGTTCTGCAAAGTCTCCCTTTGAATGTATATTGAAATGAAAAATGTTTGACAGTTGTAAGGATTGTTTTACAGTTGAAAAAATAGGAGATTTTGTGCAAAGGGCTTGATCCATTGCCAATTAAAATTGAAGGAAAAAAATCATGCTGACTTCACTGGGCTTTGGTTCAGGTTCAGCTTGATTTCTTGTCAGGCAGAAGCGCTAATGCAAGTTATTTCCTGCAGATGCATAGCCAGTGTTCAGTCAAACTCGAGTGAAGGTGAACATCTTCATAGCTGTAAGATTTTAATGCTTAAAATTCCTTCATGTATGACACAGAAATGATTGTAACAGTCAAAGGAAGTGACTCAGTTCATTCAATTACTTTATGCGGTTGCACATTTTGTACTCCAGTAAGCTGGGATTCTTCAGAATTTTCATAAGAGAAATATATAAGGAAATACAGATGTTGATTTATTCAATAGAATCTATGATAAAGAAGGTAAAAGCTCATAATTTGGTCAACAGAAATGCAATTCCTCTATTTTTTTCAGTAAGTTCTAAATCATTTTTGTATTTCAGAAGAGAAATGAGATGATGTTAGGAGATCACATTTTCAAGCCTTTTCAACTGCTGCATTTTGTTTCTTACCTATGACTTATTTGTCATAAGCAAGAGAAATATTGGAAACACCTTTTTCAGTCAGTGTATCATATAAGAGTTGTATGATTAATGCTAATGGACTGTTTGCTCGAAAGATGACTATTCATTTACAGAATAAATGGTTTAAAATTATCACAACGATGGGAAAGAGTGTTAACTGAAAGAAAATGAATGAGAGCCAAAGCATAAATTACAGTCACTTAGACTTTGCTCCTGTCTCACTAAAAATGAATTAATTTTTCCAGTGATATGTATGGAAGATTCAGATATTAAATGTGAAAATTCGGTTAGTCTTTGTATTTTTCATTGTATTCCCTGTTTGGTACTAGTGGACAATAATGTTTCTTATCTTAAATGAAAACAAATATTATGATCACTATATGTTTATGGAAAGCTGCAGCAGAATTGAATATGCTATTGATTTCTATAAACAGACATAAAATAGTAGTGTTATTTTTTTATTTTTTGCATCGTCTTGATCTTGTTCTCTCTAAACTTGTGTGGATTTCTAAAATTATTTGTTTAGGGTTTCTGTCTTGCTAGGTATATTTAAGTTGAAATATTAGTTTTGTGGGGGGTTTTTGTGTTTTTTTTTTTTTTTAAAGAGAATAAGGAATTGCTTTTTTTTTTTTTTAAATTTAATAGTGAAAACTAACTTCATTTGTACAGAGGGGAGATAAACTGTCTGAATTATTCCCATAAATATTTCAGCTTTATAGATCATTGACTTAAAAGATATGTAAAGACCTTAATCTTTGTTGAAGAATGTTTGGAGAACAAACATATCAATTGTAATGATTTGATTTGTTCGATGTACAAGTATAGAAATGGGGTCCAAAAATTGTGAGAGAGAGAACAGGCCTAGATAGTTCTGGAAGTCTGATATTGTTCTTTATGAAATGATGAAATTTTGCATTCTGAGAGACCAAGACAGTTCCCAAATGAAGGGAACATCTCATTATTTCCTGAGCTTAACAGGGAGATTACATCTTCTCTAATGTCCACCTATTTTTTGGGATACTTTTCCCAGAAGTTCTATGTTACTGTAAGCTTTCAGAAAACATGTTAGGTTGCTATCAGCTAGTATGCTTAACTCCAAATTGTAAATATCCCTCTCTGTGAAACACTGATAATATTTCTGTGAAAAACAGAACTTGAAAATGCTTCATACTGTGCCAGTTAAAATGCGTTAAGGAAGTCAGGAGTCAGTTGCCTGTGAAATAAGTGCAGTCAGATGGTACTTCTCCATATCATTCCATAGAACTGCAACAATAATAAACCATACACGCATGTGAGTACAAACACACACACAAATATTTGAAAAATTGTGAAGGGAGTTTTCCCTAAATTATATTACTGTGTAAGAGACTGAACTGCAGAGATGGATACAGAAGAAAACACATAGTCAAGGACACAGTTAAAAACTAAGTGCATTCTTTTAATTGAACAATTCACATTTAAAAAACAAACAAACAAACAAACAAAAAACCTTTCTTCCTATGAAATTATTCGGCTATAGGCTATGGTAATAGCAAGTTTAACTGAGCAACTAAAAAGAGGTTTGCCTTCATTGTATTAAAATCTGTCCGCTTTTTCCTGGTAATGACTGAAGCACAGATGATGACTAAATACATATGACTTCTCTATAAAAATGCATGGTATAAAATCAGATGTAAGTTTAATTTTTAAAATATTTTATGGTATTTCTGATGCAATCATGGTAACTTTTTTTTTTAACGTTAAAACATTGCTTCAAGGGTAACTTGCAATGAACACACATTAAGAATGGATTTACTCCATGGTTAAAAGATTTTAAATACAAAGAGGCTTCCACTGCATGTGATGTTTTAAAAGTACTGGTGATTTGAAGAAACATAGCTTTTCTAGATACTTCTTAACTTACACTTAAAAAATGTTGTCCTGCTCTAGCAATGCCTTTTGCATAAGAATGTGTGAAGCTCTGTGTATGCACGGCTTCTTTTCTAGTCATCATAATGAACTGATGAGATTCTGCACATATTTTAAGGAACTGTAATTCTAAAACAGGGTTAACAAATATT